GACTTAGTATCTCATAATTTCAGTTTTTGTCATCACTTGGACTTTCCCTAATTATTATTTACCAAAGCAAGATTTTATTTTTATTTATTTATTTGTTATGTGGCCAATCGGGCTTCTTCATCCTCTTGTTTGCTGCAGATTTGGCCGGCCTTCTCATGATGAGGTGTCCATTCTTGCTCCGTTGACCCAGTGTTGCATGTAAGGGTCTTTCTCAAATATCAAATGATATTATTCTGAAGGACGGTATTAGACATGCACTTAATAAAGCCATGACCTCTCACAGGATCAAGCGCTCCACGCTGTTCAGACTGAAGCTTCTGGCGCAGTCCGAGTACCGTCTGAGCGACGTCATGAGGGCATCCCTCTCCAGAGACCCTCTCACGCCAGTCCTGACTGAGGACCACCTGCAGGCCTTGGACCGCCGGCTGGGCCAGGTGCTCAGGACGCTGGGAAAGTGTGTGAAGAAGCTGGGAGAACCACAAGTGGTGATCACAGACTTTGTAGAGTCATCCAGAGTAACTACAAGCAACAGGTGACAGAACGAGAAGAGCCAGGGTTTGAGGAGATATCAGCCATCCACTGTGTTACTGACTGGGTACTTTATGATAACTTCCAGACTAAGCCACTGAACTAAATCAGACCATATTGTCCAAAATCATGGCATCTAAAGACATCAGGAGGAAAAAGTATTTGTATTTCTGATAAATGCTCTGGGGCTGTGAGATATTATTAGTCTTAATTGTCAAAATTGACCAAAAGTTAAAATGATGAGATGCAAAGTCATAAGTATCACAAGTCAAAATTATGATAAAAAGTCAAAATTATGGCTGTTATGATTACGAGACTTATGACAAAAGGTCAAAATTATGAGATGAAAAGTCAAAATTATGAGATAATTATTGAGAGTTAAAGTTGGCAAAAAACAAAATTATGAGATACATAAATTATCATGAAGCATCTAAATATGAGATCAACATCAATTCTAAAAAGTATTTTTGTCATTATGACTATGCAATTTTACCTGTCATGATAACTTAGTATCTCATAATTTCAACTTTCTATCTCATAAGTATCACTATCTCATAATGTTGACCTTTTAGCTCATGTTTATAACTTTGTATTATAATTATGACTGGCTAAAATTGGCTGTGTGATATTACTAAAAAAGTAAAATTGAGGAACAAAGTCATAATTATAACAAAGTCAAAATGATCTCAAAAATCAAATTTATGAGCAACCAGAGAGATAAAAAGTTACAATTGTGACAGCTATAATTATGAGATAAGTCGTAATTGAGATAAAGAGTTGAAACTGATTTTAAACAAAATCAAAACTATGAGTCCAAATTATAATGAAACTAAAATAAAAAGTAAATAATAAAAAAACAGAATGTATCATAATCAGGACTTGTCAATTTCTATCTCATAAATTCAACTTTCTATCTCATAAGTATCACTTTTACCTCATAATTAGGATTGGCTAAACAGGGCTGTAATATATGACTTCAGAAAGCTCCCTAACAACACATTTAAGTGGTTGTCCTGATCTGGTTTAGACTGAAATCCCGAGCCAGACAGATGATGCAGCATCCGCAGGAAAGAGAAGAGCTTCAGATCTCCTTACATCAGCACACGCACCATTCATGTGGTGCTTCACCTGCAAGCGGGAAGCGTTTCCTCCGACTATCCCTTCCCTTTCTGTCCATTTTCCTACAAACAACCATTAGTGGCGGCTGAGCTGATGATGCAGCACTGCGGTAGGTTCTCTACAGGAGCTAAAGGCTGATTTTCCAGACGATAAATATAATCTGAAAAACTGTCAATCAAAACCTGGTCATAATTATTCATGACCGTTTGTCACATGACAAATGACAAAACATTTGCATACTTTCTGATTCAGTCCCGCTCCTGAAAGCCTCATGGTGATGCATGTAAAAACTATTGGAGTATGATCACAAAATGTACATTTAAGCATAAAAAGATGATCTGATTTTACCACTCAAGCAGTCATGACTTGACCGTGTACGTGAAATGCAAAATTAAAATGCATCGCTTCAGTCCCATCTGTTGGGACTTGATAACTTGAAGCAGTAGCTTGTACTTTTTTTCTCATTTGAGGCCATGCTTCAAATCATATTCCAGAACTACATCTGCAGTATGTATATCATAACAGCATTCAAATGCAGAAAGTATCCAACTATACTTTGTTTACCAAAACGTGGAATATACACTACAATTCAAAAGATTTTTTCATGTTTTTGGAAGTCTCTTCTGCTCAGCAAGGCTGCATTTATTTGATCAAAATACAGTAAAAACTGAAATATTACATTATTATAATTAAAAACAGCCGTTTTCTGTGAATCTCTGTTAAACTGTAATGTATTTCTGTGATGCGCAGCTGTATTTTCAGCATCATTCCTCCAGTCTTCAGTGTCACATGATCTTCAGAAATCAGTATAATATGCTGATTATTAGAAACATTTCTGATTATTATCACTGTTGAAAACAGTCGTGCTGCACAATATTTTTGTGGGAATTGTGATACATTTTATTTTTCAGGATTCACAGATGAATAGAAAGTTCAAAAGAACAGCATTGATTTGAAATAATCTTTTGTAACAAATGTCTTTACTGTCACTTTTGATCAATTTAATGCATTCTTGATGACTAATTAAACTTTTTTTTTTTTTATCTTTCTCAAGTGGCCCTTCCGTTTTTTCTGACAAATGAATCGGAAGTAAATAAAGCTCATTTTAATCAAACTGCCGAAAATGAACACATTTTAACACAAAATGCAAAACACTTTTAGCAACTAACTGTAAGGAGTCATTGTCAATATGCCACCTGAACAGCACTCATACGCCACATGACCCTGTTACAGTAATAATAGGCCCATTCTGCACAGCCAGATTTTCTCTCGGTTGAACACTGCCCTCTTGTGTCTTGTACAGCTTTATGAATACTTGAACTAAAGACAAATAAGATTTGTTCATTTGTCTGGAAAGAAAGTCTTCCACTGCATTTGATGGTTCAATAACAACCTTTTTATTGCTTAAACTGCCATTTGGACGATCTATACCAAAATTATAATTTTTTTCTGGGTAACATTGACAAATCGAACATCATCAGTGGTCCACAATATAGAGCAGCTCATACGAGAGCATTAACAGCTCTACTCATCTGTTCATTCATCAGTCGCTCTCCATTCACTGATAGAAAACACAAGCGGCGCTGCCATGAGGATGGAAATCAACCTAATAAACATTACAAAGATGCAAAGATGAAGCTGAAAGCGTTTGAAAATCCTGTGTTACACCATTTTAACATGCATCTCTCAAAAACTAAAACGAGCATTTTGTGAATGAAGAGAATCAAAGAACGATTGCTCTGGATTGTTTAACAGCAAAACAGAAGATGGACATGCAAACAACAAATCGCCAATCTTCCGTTTAACCTAAACCTAATTTTATAATTGTTTCTGTCTTTTATTTCAACATCAAAACTGCTACAAGCCTGTTTAAAGGCCCAGTTCACCCAGAATTGAAAATGCACTCACCCTCAGATCATCTGAGATCAGGATGAGTTTGTTTCTTCATCAGGTTTGGAGAAATGTAGTGACGACACATTGATGTCCTAAGACACGAAACGATTGGTTTGTGCGAGAAACCGAACTGTATTTATATCGTTTTTTACCTCTAATACAGCACTATGTCCAACTGTCTTTGCGAGTGCGAGCGAACTGTTCCTTTAAGAACAGCCACAGAAACACTTGACATTATGAGGTGTGACTAACTGTGCACCTTTGTGGAAAAATAAACTCGTTAAAAAATAAAACCGGTATTTCTCAGCATATACTGATAGAAAGGTAAATACTGAAGCATTCTGACTGAAAGCTCATTCGCTGACACACAAATGAAACGAAGTCTGTCACGCTCTCCTCTAGAAGCTAAATTCAAGTCGAGAAGTGAGGCTCTGTGCAACGTTTGACACTGGCATCATAACAGATCACAAACTACTATCGTTTCCAGCTTTCTCATAGTTATTGGTTTTCAAATGAGTTTTAAAATTTGATTTTACAATAAACCCTAAACGCATAGATACTGCACAGTACGGCCTCACGAGTTTCTACGATAAACAGTAACGCGAGCTACGTAATCAGATCACTTACTTCAAGTAACTAGTAAAGTAACGCATTACTTTGTAATTTACAAGAGAATATCTGAGCTACTTTTTCAAATAAGTAACTCAAGTTACTTTTTTTCAATTTGACTGCCAGCTCTCCTGTCCCCATGTCGAGAGAAATCAGATGTTACTGTAGTTCTAAAATAAATATGAATATGCATTAATTCATCTCACTCACACACAACACAGATTCAGTATTCCTCAAAATGAATAAAAATAATGCAACGCAGAATATGACGCAAACCTGCAATAATTCAATGTTAAACAACACAAATATGCTTTATGTATTTAATCCCATTCTATTTGCTTCTGAGCTTCGATGATGCAGTTCAAGCGTACTAATAATCACACATTACTCTAGACGAACATCTGTGTGTCTTTGTTTATTGCTGAAGTGTTGAAATGTCTTCTTCTGTATTCTACTGTACTTTCCCTTCAGCCTGAGGCGCATTCATTTCACTTTTGGTGTGAAAGGCTTTTATATTTGCCAAAAATATAACTTTTTTATTTTAAAAACAAACAAGCAAGCCCTGTCCAGATTTTAAAAGTAACGTAACGCATTACTTTCCATAAAAAGTAACTAAGTAACGTAATTAGTTACTTTTTTATGGAGTAACGCAACATTGTAATGCATTACTTTTAAAAGTAAATTTCCCCAACACTGACGATAAGCAACTGAACACAAACCGCAAGAGTGTGTGCTGGAATGATAAGAAGAAATAAAACAGCATGTGTTCATGTTGATAAAGGAAGGGAAATGAGGCAGTAAGGCTTAAAGAATAGAACCAGCACAGCCATATACGTAGGCAGTTCATCTTATAAAACTAGTCTTAAAAAACTGGTCTGTGAGGGTAAAATGGTTTTAGAATAACTCTACTATAAATATATTCATACTACTCAGAATTAAATGTAAAAACACTGCAGAGTAAAGGCTGTGACTGGATTGGAGGAACGTACGTTTGATTGTCTGTCCTTTCATTCGGCTCCAAGTGTCCGGCGATGAAAGCAGCCGTTAAAGCTCTGGACTTAACGAAGCGGTAATGAGTCTCTGAACATGAGCTGGGCCCTGCGGGAAAGGTTTTCAGGGTGGGGCTCTCAGACGGAGAGCGACACGAAGCTGTTGTACTGTTGGATGTTGCGTTTGAGGATGTCTGAACACGGGCCCAAGACACGCTCGAAATGCGGCCTGTCCAGCTTGACGCATTTGAGCGGCCCACGGGCCACGACGGTGGCGGCACGGGGTCGGTTCATCAGCAGAGCGATCTCGCCTAGTGAACACACACAACACACAAATAATAATGTTACTCGTATTCTTTATTTGTATTATTTTTTTATATGTGACCCTGGAGCACAAAAGCAGTCATAAGGGTCAGTAGAACACATTTGATGATTTTTAACTCCAGCCGTTGCAGT